GGGCATTTCTCACAGCAGCCCCCTTTAGGGGAAAAATAATCGTCGCCGGGGGGTGGAACTGTAAAGAAAACATCAGCGTTGTGGAGCTGTTTTCACCACCGGACGCTGCGTGTCCGCTAGGCCAATGGTCAACGCTAACTGCGATGGAGGAGCCTTGTGCAAGCTTCAGTATTCTCACCTCAACTGACACGATCTTTGTTCTTGGTAATTCGTCTTCCGCTGCTTTGATGTATTGCCTCTAGAGCGAACTAATATTCCTAACAGTGTACCCGTCAGTATTTGAAAAGGACTTTGCTTGAAACTGGTCTTGCATCATTTTCTGCATTGTACTTTTTGCCCATCTAGAAGTGTCATAAGGAATATATGTACCAGTTTTAGATGACTGCCTGTTTGCCAGGTTTTTGCAAAGATCTATCAACAGATTTATTTGAATTTTCTAGGTGGAGACATGGAGCCACGAAACAAGATATCAACTTTCACGTCGCCAAAGGGTGCTCTTGATTTCAACAATGATTTCGTTTCGTGGGTCTGGTCTTCGAAGTGCACGATTGGGACGCTTAAAGAAATTACTGGAGCTGCGACTGTTCGTTTTTAGACGGATGCATTATTTTGGCCTTACCTGCGCGCCCTTCCCATTTATCGGAAATAATAAATCAACTCGCAGTTGGCAATATCTGCCTTTTCAAGTACACAATCGATCCTTTTTGGACACTTTTATCCTGAAAGAAGCAAGGTCCGTGCATCTTAGATGGCCCCATAATGGCATCTCTGTTCTGGTAATAATTACTTGGAATATATGTGCCAGATTGATTTAAAAAGACAAAACATTATGTAATTACCGACAAAGACTAGGATGACTGTACATTACAGTAGATGTACTAACTCATGAAATGTCAACCAAAATTTCGATGTGCGTTCTCGTTTCGAAAAGATAAATTAAGTATTGTTGTAAAACTAATCCCGATGCTGCATAAATCTATAATGATCCAGTTACCTCAGGCTGTCGGCTTTCGAAAGAACTTATTTTTGGCTGCATGCAAGATCTATACTTTGCAAAAAATGAGTACATAAGTATCATGCAATTTTTGATACCCTTGAAAATTCAATTATATTTCATAGAAAACATGCATAAAAATATTCATGCTTTTGCTTATTCGGTAGAAACTTACGTCCACTTTCAATTTCATACTCAAAAGGCGAGTATGATTCGGCATTTAAAAACTTTTTTTAATCGAGGATAATTTTGTACCCGACCTGCTGTTAAACTCGCATTCAGGATTTCAAAACTACAAGCTGTATATTTTCCGTTAACGGAAAACCATGCATTGCTCTACGGTTTTAAGAGGAGACCATATGATGTTCATAAAATTAAACGGTGGATTTGAGCAATATTGCTAGCTTTACAAGCCACATTCGTAAATGCAGATGCATGACGTTTCATGAGCGACCATTTAACGGAATTAAAAAGTCTCAAAATTAGAAACTTTTTTAAAACCGAAATATACTCTTCTTTTGATTATGGAATTGAAAGATGTGATTTACTACAGAATAAGTCAAAGAACGAATATTTGTATGAATATTTTCCATGAAATATAATTGAATTTTTAAGGGCATCGAAAATCAGTGAAAAAATTGCATGCTACTTAAGTAGTCATTTTTGCAGAGTATAGATCTTGCATGTAGCCGAAAATAAGTTTTTTTGAAAGCCGACACCCTGAGGTGACTGGATCATTATAAATTTATGCTGCATCATGATTAGTTTTACAACGCTACTTAATTTATCTTTTCGAAACGAGAACGCATTTCGAAATTTTGGTTGACATTTCATGAGTAAACACATCTACTGTACAATCCAGTTGTCACATTGATGCTTGACTTTCTTCCAAATCATATATTCTCAAGAAGCAACTCAAAAGGCAGGCTATTCATCGACAGCATGAATGAGATAGAAATATCTGGCAGATTAGAGGGAGAGTAGTATGTTTTTTGAGGTTCAGGCTCAGCCGTCTCAGGTGTCTGATGTTCAAGCCACATCGATGTTGCCAGTTTTTGACGACTGGAAGAAATCCCTTTGAATAAATCGACACGATTCCAAGGTACCATCCTATTGGGGAGGAGGAAGAGGAGGAGGAAGAGGAGGAGGAAGAGGAGGAGGAAGAGGAGGATGAAGAGGAGGAGGAGGAGGAGGGTAAGTAGACTAGGGCGCCAGAATGAATCATATATTCTGTGCAGGTCACTGACGCGACTTTTTGCTCTTAACGCAGATGCGATGGCTTCGCCACCAGCTCTCTTCGCTAAGAGTGTTTTTGAACGGCGTTCAGACTGCAGTAATCACTATGGATGATTCATCACCTTTAGCCCCCCAAACGACAGCTAGGATATTGCGCAGCTGACAACGCGCTCCATACTAAGAATGAAATTTCATGTGGACCACGGGTCTGTGTAGACCAAACTTGTGCCACGCTGGCTCTTGTTGTTAACCTTTTGAAACGATTGAAAAAATGCAAAATTAAAGAACCCACAAATTTCGACGTAAACAGTCCCGTTATGGTGCACTCTAATGCGGTTGCAAGCATGACTACGAGTGACAATGCAGTCAGTTACCGATGGCCCGTGATTCCTGTTCAGATCGATTTTGTTTTTTGTACGAATTAAGCGACTTCTGTTTGATTAAGTGGCTCCATATGTGACCAGTTTAACGTCAACAAAACAACGGCTAGGCGGCTTTGGAAAGGTCATAGTCACCTCATTCTCAGCACCGTGACTAGAGGCTACTATTTCACTCCGTTTTTGTCAACGCTAACAGTAACGCCTCTTTGTGCTAACTGCTCAGTCAGTGATCCTTGAATTTATAGTTTTCCGACTTCTTGAAGACCCGACTTGGAAGTAATACCTTCACAGAGCCTAGAAGAACGATGTAAAACCGTTGTTGTTTCTGCTGGTTTAATCATTATTTGGTAAATAATGAAATGTCAACGATTCCAGGTGCCGCGGATGACCACTGACACACGAAGACGACAGTTCAGTTTTGCCAGGCTTAGGGATCCTGCCCTCGCCCGAGCGTCCTGACTCTGTCTTGTCTTCGTAGCAATGTGAGGGCAGGAAAAGAGAATGAGATAGATGCAGTGTGTGTCCTCTTCATCATAGAAAAACCAAGCTTGAGTCATTCCTGCGCCGCGTTGTGGACCTGAGGGTGGGCCTTATTGTTTGTAACGGTCGAATTATCCACTGTATTGGCGGATTTCACGGGTTGGAAAAACGTCCCATATAGATCATCTGCCTAGGTCGTTAGGACAGACGTGGCTCGTAAGGCCGGTAGTAATGCAGATGAAACTGAAACATCTGACTACGTCAGAAGACCAAGACCTATGCTATTTACCACCGTTCACTTCACAATAAAATGTGCTGACATTACTACTCTACGACTGTGTGGGAGTTTATCTTTTCCAGATTTTACGTGGACTACGTATTTCAAGGCGAGCAAACCCATGATCACGAGCGAACCGAGGTAAGTGGTCTTGGAGACGTTAGGAGGCCGTGGAATTCACTTGAGTGTAACGCGCAATGGTTTATGCTCATCGCGGACGTAAATTTCCAGTGCCGCTGCAGTCCTTCGATCTACAAAGGCAGTATGTAGTTTTTCCGGTGCGAAAATGGTTTCGGAGCCTTGAAAGCCAATTAATTACTGCTCGTTAAGTCTTTCACGGTCACGTGCCTAAAATCGATTTCAATCATCATTATAGATAAAAGACTTCGGGTTGACAGAATTCCATTAACGAGATAGACAAGGGAAACTGAAATGGCCATTTCTGGCTTATTAGACATCGTCAGCCAGTAACACTCAACCCCGAAGTGTGGAGAACGTGGAGGTCTATCCCGCGATCTGTTAGTTAGAAGTCCAACAACTCGCTATCCGTCCTCCCTTGACTTTGTTGGTAATAACCTACTGCCTATATCATGCACCCCTGCGTGGCTGCTGTTTAGGCTCTAGAGAGAGCCCGTAATTCACAATAGGACGACTGAATTCCGCAAAAGCGATTGGTTAACACCCCTTTATCAGCATCCTGTTAGAAAATTCTTACATTTATTTGCTATATAATGACTACTTATTATTTTAGGTAGTATGATATGTCACAATTTAGTTATTTGTTGTATTGCCTGCCCAGTACGCGGAGTTTGGCATACGTCCAGTCATTCGATTACTCTACCTCTACCGTTCCTATATATGTACTTCTGTGACCAGCTCGAAGCCTTGAACGGTGTGTCTTTGTGAACAGATCTCCGGTAAAAACGAAGCGACGTTATTATTAGTTTTGTGTTGCCACACTTGTAAACTTCGACCGGATTTCATCGTTTCCCAGCATCTTTCAATTGGGCAGCTATTAGAATTCTTCGATCGTCTCTGGGACGGGGAGCAAACCTTCTGTGTCGTCGTATACGTCCATATGTAAAATTCGGTTCATAGCGTTTTTGAATATAGTGGAAGAGAGAAAGAAGGGAAAGGATGACATTTTATTTTGAAAATATCTTTCACAATTTTCAGCAAACATGTTTTCATTCATTGTGACCAGTATAACAATTTACAAATGAGGCACGGGTGTAAATAGATTTGCATAAAATCGTTTATATATTACGGGGACGCTTGAAGTCGTAGTTTAGATAATTTGCTATGTTCACACGCAAGGTATCGAGCCAGTGATGGAAATATAATACATTGATACTTCGATGTACGGTGAGAGTTAAGTCGGAAGCCACGGCAATTAGTTCAGAATGAAGGGGATGGACAAGAGCATTCAGAATTTGATCAAATAATTGCTCGCCATTGTGAAATGTCGTTATATTATCGCATCAGTAAAAACGGCATAAGGAACGCCAGCAGCAGAATAGAACATTCGGATAATAGGTTATGAAATTACCAGAAACAATGATTGGAGAACGATGAAGAATAAATTGAACAATGCTAGCGTCTACAAGTTATCAGACTGATGATTGAGGATTGTCATAGGAAAGCAAATGATAAATGTAACAGGCAGATTTACGAAGGTCAGTGAAAAAGGTTTCACTATGAAAGTAGAAGAAAAGATTTGAGGACAGAGTAACACAAACGTACCGGAAAGAGGATACCTCACTAAAAGGAACGTCCAAGGACTAGGGAATAGGACGGACGTGCAGTGCGAAAACACGTTGGACTGATTTCAGACTGTTAAGTAGGTGGCCATTTTCCAACGACCATGGAGAGATGTCATCGTACTCATTCATCAGAAATTAATGAGCCTGATTGTTGAGATGGTGACCAACGAATGTCTCGTCAACAAACTTAACATATTCGCGGTCATTTGGCGATCTCAGGTCATCGGTTTGAAGGCAGAAGAGATGAGGAGATAGCATGGAATCTTGGAGGGTAGCACAGTTATTTGGAGGGACAATAGATTCCCACCTAACAGACTGGACAAAGTGAGTGCGGAAAGTAAGGTAATCGCCAAGCCAATAAACAGCCCAGCCAGGAGAGCAAACAGGAGACGGCGCAGAACAGTTTTGAAAACGAAGCATTAAAAACGAAAATTCGAACGCGTAGGCATAACAGCCATTATCTAGGTCTCTTAGAGCAGAGTGGAGTGCAGTATCAACAGCATCCAGAGTGGCACACCTGGCCTTTTATGTAAATTACAAGTGGCTGCAGTTTTTCGAGGGGAATGACTAAACCGAATCTAAGGCACTTCGTTCATCGAGCTTCAGAGGTGCAGAAAAGCAGGCAGTTGGACAGAAAAGCTTAGAGTAACGATAGGGGGCTGGACGCCCAAGTAGATGGCAACTCTATTAACATATATTAAAATTCAGTGGGACTGAAAACATCATTCACTATTCACCGCTCCCATTTTTGCAAACCCCTTCCCTTCCTGGCTAAATATTAACTTACCTGCGGCGCGTTATTCAAAATCTGTTAATCTTCGAAAATCGGCTTTTGTTTATTTTTTAATTATTACACTCACTTTCTTCGCCAAATGACAGCGTACGATAAAACTTTCGGCAGAAATTTGTCTATTTTTTGTGTTTGCTCGCTCTCTGTCCTGTATGTTGTCCCACACCTCCCGTACTACCTCCTCCGCCACCCGTCAACGTATGGCAAAATCCACAATATAGATGAAGTTAGTTGCGGATCCTACATCTTATCGTTGCCAAATTCGGAAACACAAATGGTAGACTTTTAATGACAGGCGTGTTTCTTACCGTGCGCCAAGCGTGAAGAATCTTGGACTTCGTGATAAACATGTTAATTAGGTGTGTCATTTGAGAGGTTATTTGGGACTAACAAGCAGAAGGTTAAGTGAGGAAATTTCAGAGTTGTTTAGGCCCATGTTCTAGGCTGTGTGTGGTAGTGCAGTCTCCTCGTCCTGTGGACTGCGGATTGTTTTTTTTGACTGTGAAAACAGTCTTCAACTCGAAATGATTTGCGTATCCCTGCCAGTTATTCTGCATCTTTATCAGTCTGGATGCCGGTACTATGCGGCTTTGCTGGCGGGGTTGCTGTTGACGTTTTGTCCTGGGGACACGTTGGTAAGGCTAGTAGTAACAACATGCCCATAGTGAAGACGCGAATTTACAGCTGATCGATAGAAGTGATATGAAGTGATGTAAAACGCTCTACCGCATAAACCAAATTTTCCAAGATACGATCGTGTAGCAGTCCGTAGTGGCAAAGAGAAAGCATAAGGTTATTTGTCAGTCAGCTAATTCCAAGATCGTCGAAAGCATGTTGCTTTTAACGTGTCATATAGATAGGCTTTTTATGGGACTGTTTGGATGGCCGCTTTACGAGCTGTCGGCTGTCTCTGATCGTCACCTGTACATTACTTTGTACGCCAGTTCGATAAACACACAGAAACGTGCGGTCTGCAAGCCCTTAGACTAAGTGAGATCTCAGTTTACTTATTACATTAAAGTGTAGAAAATAGGCCTATTTAAAACTAAGAAAGCAGTGTCCCTCTAAGAAAAGTGCTTCTTTGAAGTTATCTTTAAGTTAGTTGAAAAATTAGAGCAAGATAATCGAATGCTTTGTAGACTTTCAGAAAACCAGCCGTGCAATTTTTGTCAGCAAAATTCACGATGACTTCTAATCTGGCGGCGAAGAGCAACCTTAACCAACGCTGCAGTATACCCACTTTTAACGCAGCATTTTATCTGGAAGATATGTTGTT